TGAGACCTGTGGGGCGCAGTTCGACGACGGGGAGGGGGGGGCATTTCTTCCCATCGATGTGTCGACCCATCTAGATAGCCTTTTCTTGAGTTGACACGTTTTACCATGGTGGCTAGACGAGCTTGCTCCAGCTTCACAAGTTTCACCAGAGTGAGACTTGTAAACCGGAAGTAGTGAAGCAGTGAAAGTGCAAATTGCCCCCCCCGTCGGAACTGCGCCGACCTGTGGACTCTTGTGAAGCTACGAAATAGTATGTCATTTTAATTACAAGGATTTACAGGTCTCCACAAGGTGGCCTGTACGAAGTCCGCTGAGTGCCACTTAAATTTAGTGCCCTTTCCAGGCCAAATTGTGCCGCATTTCGTCATCAGATGCCATTTTGGCGATTCGGCGAATGCTTAAAAAAATCAGCTAAAAAATTCCTTCAATAGGAGTTAATCGCAATCGCGGACGCTTCTGGTCTTGTTGGCAACATCGCAGTTTACGACTAATGGAGGTCATCCCAGCCGTGGGGACGAGAAATTGAATTTAACGAGCACCTGTCAAAGCCATTTCTGCTGTTAATAATAATCACTAATAATATAATAGTATATAATATAATATATAATAATCAATAATAATAAAAGTTAATAATCATGTGTATGCAATAAGATATGAGATTGAACAATGCTTTTGTATTTCCCCCGTTTCCCTCCCTCTAGCCCATGGAAAAATACTTTCTTTTTATTCTCGCAATATTTTCTTTCTTTTAAGCATCAACGAGCTGACAACGCTACCTTGGAGATGTCCGTTGAACAGCTTGAGAACGAGCTGGAACTGCTTCGTCAAGAGAAAAAGGTCAGCTTATGTTGTCCACCAGTTTTTCCCCCGTACGAACCACGTTGAGAAGATGGGTGCTTTGTGATGACCATTTTTCTCGACCCTTAATTAATTTATCAATTTCTAAACCGGATTTTTAGCAAAGAACATTGTGAAGGTGATAAATCAACCCTGAATAAATCGATTTAGGCCGTTTCTCGCTTAGAAACCCCAAACAAAAACCCCTTTTGACTACAATGGTTATAAATGCTGTATTGCAGACTCAAGTCGAGACACAAACGCAGCAAACGCGGCTCACTGAAGCTCAACAGAACATGCGGGGTCTACAGGCCGACATTGGCGTGGTGAGTGTACTGCACCAGGCTAGAAGTTCTCAGGCAAAAGTGGTTGGAAGGAGCCAAATGGCGGGCTGCCTTGTCATACCTGCTTGTCTGCACCCTCTAATCGGACAGGAAAGGGGCGTATACACCCGAAAAAAAAAATAGGCAAGACAGGACAGGCAGTGCCACCTAGCTCCTCAACCTACCTTTGTCCACATTTTCACGTTCAAAACAGATTTTTCTTCCAGAAGAACACGAGAATCGAAGAGCTCTTGGTGGAGCAGTCACGTTTGGAAAATGAGCTGATGATAGTAAGCTCAAAAATGCAGGAAATGGAAAGGTAAGACTACCGTTTTTCATACAGTTGATAGCTGAGGGGCGAAAGGGGCGTGGTTGCTAAAGCGGCAGCGACTAAGTTGCTAATGCGGCAGTGGCTTTGGGAATCCAGACCGAATGGAGACAGACGCACTTGTCTTCAAAGAGGACTTTGAGGGGAGAGTATGCATGTGGACACGCCCCTTTCTGCCCTGCGATATGGATTGCGATTTGCTTTCTGGATGACGAAGAAGTGAAGTAGCTTTCCACTGCTCGTCTGTCCAATCAAATCAAGTTGCAGCTTTGCCGCAGTTCGTCGACGAGAGGGGGCACTCTTGTTCTTCCGGCGATTCACTAATTCCGGTTTACAAGTCTCACTGTAGTCAAACCTGTGGACTCTTGTGAAGCCAGAGCCAGCCGCCACATTTCCTTGCTTTACAGGAGTCAACAGATACTGTTCACAGGATGACAGGCTGTTACCATTTCGTGGTTTCACAAGTTTTCACAGGTCTCTCCACTTGATGGCTTGACACGTTGATGGAAGTAGCAAAAATGCAAAAACCCTGCCCCTTCCCCCCCCCCCCCTTTCTCCGACGCTACCTATCTGCGCCGCAGTTAATCTCAATTTCATAGTAGAAAAGAATTAGTTGACGTGTGCTTTTGATCCTACCCTCGTCGCTTTAACTCGCCGCTTAGTAGCGGCGCCTCCTGCCATTGCTCCAATTTTACTACGAATGGAACATTTCACGTCATTAGTGGCCGCAATGAATAACGCAGTAATTAAAAAAACCTGAAATAGGTCAATCCGGAATTAGTTTCCCAATGGCGTTGCAACTTTACTCCATTTGTCCTGTCAAGGGCGCTATCACACTTATTCCATAACCGTTCCACAGTTTACAACGGATGCCTGTTTTCACAGGTTCTTTTTTCGAAAGCATAATTTATGTACCCCACGACAACTCGTCCTTTGCGGTCAAGACGCTATCCTTCCCGATATCGATGTTTTATCATTACCTGAGACTGCCTTTTGCTGGTTAAGAAATTGTTTCAAGGACAGGTTCTTTTCAAGAATAGCCCGCCTTTCTATCTGCGGCTACTCAACCCTTGTAGTTCTGGAGGGAGAGAAAGAAAATTATCACCCTCTTACGTACAACTTTTGACTTCCACTTACTTCTTATCTTGAGTCCTTTACATTTCTAAATAATAGATGGCACGTGAAGCATAAAAGTGTCTCTCGCTCATCCTTCCGCCATACACGTTCAATAAAGATCTCCCTCGGCTTAATTTTGTCAGTTAGCCGCCAGCCCCTTAAGCTGATCCCACTCCTAGCTCGATGAGGAACAAATCCGTCAATAACGGGGTGGGAGCCGGAGCGGCGGGCGGAGGTGCGTTCGATAACTGTTTCTATATTTTCCTATGCCCAGCACCAGCGTGTTTCCGTCCTGCCCTGGCTAGTGAGCTTGAAGCCGAGGGGCACGAGCGTAGCAAGAGCCGCCCAGTCGGCCACACCCCCCTTACCCCCCCCCCCCCCCCCCCCCGAAAGCGTTAGCAGTTCTTGACCAGGCCACCTTCCTTCAGCCCTGTCCATCATGATGACGGCAACAACGCGCTCTGGCCTTCCAGCAGTCGTGTCACTACGCTCAGCACACTGGGTTGCTAGCGGCACCGCTCTAAGAATACAGTATCCACGCTGCTTGTATGGGCGGAACTTTCTCAACCACTTCGTCTTTCTCGTTTGATAGTCCTCACCCCGTCACGTCTTAGACCGTCCAGCGAGAGAGCAGAGAGAAGAGAGAGAGAGAGAGAGTATGCACATTGAGGAACCGCATGACCGTTGACTGGCTCCGCCCACACGGCTACTGTGAGCTTGGCCTTGAACTATCTGCTACTGCAACTTTTTGTCGCATTTTACCTTTAAGGTGGAGGCGCCTCTACAAAGGTGCTCACTTACAAGAACGCGCAAACGCCACGGCCTCCACTAGGTTAGCTACCATAACACCACTTTTCCCGTAAAGTGAGTTTTTTGGCTGGAGGCCATGCTGAACGTCTCAAGAAGAACGGGCCGCGATAGGAGGGAACGGTGCCTAGTTGCGGGCTTGGCACGCATCCCCAGAAACAACTTTAATGCACCCTTTGCATTTCTACTTCCCGAACCTAGTAGCCCTGGACTTTGAACAGTTGCAGGCCAAATGAGGAGACGTTGCTAATTGGTTAGTCTGACAGATGTTGAAGTGTATTTGTCTTTGGATGTTTTTAATGTTCTAGCGCGATGCTGGCCCCGACGCATGTGCCCCAACAGTAGAGCTTTGGTCCTTAGCTGAAGAAATGTGGCTGACAAGCGAAAGGAGCAGGATGATGTGCAGCTTACGTTGCGCAGGAATCGAAAACTCCGCCTCTCATCTCGAATCCCCAGAAAAGACTTTTGCTTCGTCACCTGCGCGTTTCCGCTAATTACCTAAACCTATTCCTTTGGGCAGCCCTCGACGGGTCTCATTCAACTGAGGGGGAGCAGTTGAAGATGAGGATGGAACAGCGTAAAGCGGACCTTTTGCCTAAGACCAGCTATGGAGAAAAGCTCTTTGCCAGCGACAACTCCAACTGTCGAGTTCCACTTATGCTTCCAGGCTTGAATCAGGGAAATTCGGTGGAGGTGAGAGTTAATTGCCACGAATTGAGCCAAAAATGTCAACCAATTATTTTTCTTCAGTCGGCTGCTGAACGTGATAAGCTGCGGGCAGAACGCGACGAGTCCGTAATGTCGCTAATTTGCACGCCAGGAAAAAATTTTCGCACATGTTCCAAACGGATTTGGTCGGAAATTCGAACAGGAAGCTCCAGACCAAGGTAGCTTTTTATTGACCGCGAAAAAAACCTGCGAAATTTCAAAAAATTCCCTCTACGCGAATCACTCCAACTTCTACTCGTGTATGAGACTGAATGCGCAAACTGATCTTCATAGAATTTTATATATGCTTATTCTTATGCGGGCTTAATTCTACCAAAAGTAAATTTCGGCTGCTATCCTCTGAGCTCTCGCCTGGTCACGACCCCCACCCGTCGGAAAACTTTGCCCAAAGCACGACGCAACCCACTATGGAATTTCCCTTTCCCCCACTGTCCCTCCTTTACTGCCAATTCTTCCTTGAATTCTACTGGGTGTCCTTTAGCCTTGTCCCAGGTTTTCTGAGAACTTTCTATTTTCTTTATTTTTCTCTAAAAAAACGCATAGGAGGCGGCCCAACAAACGGTAAATAGTGCACTCGTCAAAACAGGAAAATGCGGAGTCGAAAACCCCCAAAAGAATTGCTCTCGGAGGCGAAACGACCCCTCACCCCTTTGCCCTCTCCTGGCAGGACGAGGTCCTACTTCTACTTAGTCCCTCTATGCGCATCGTGGCGGCGCATTTGGTAGTCACTATCCCCGTCCCACACGAACATTGGTGTCGACTGCTTCCTGCAATCTTACTCCAAACAGTATTTTGCAAAGAAATTATGATTTTTTTTTTACTTTACAATCGAATTATAGGTTTTTGTTTATCTTCAGGTAATGGAAGTCGAAGCGGAACTGCAAGAATTGCGTCGTACGAAAATGGAGGTGCTAACGGTAAGAACGAAAGCCAGACAAAGAAAAGCAGCTGCAGCGAGTCTCGTGAGCCGAACAGAAAGTCCCTTGAGGACCATTGACGAGCTTCGAGAGGAAAAGGAAAATGCCGAGACCCAAAGTGCGGCCAGTGAGCGAGCACGACGAAACGCCGAAGCGGAAAGGAATTCGTTGAAGGTGGGGAGAGTTTAGAGGGCTAGCGTTCGAGTGAACGAGTTTCCATGGTGTCTGTACTTTTTAGGCTCGGCTAGAGGCCTTGGAAGCTGAGTGTGAGGAATTGAGAGAGCGGTCAAGATGTGCTGAAGATGCGGCTCGACGACTTACTAGCGGTGAACGTCGCCTGGCTGAGCAACAAACGCGTATCGGCGATTTAGAAGCCGAAAATCGCACACTTCAGCAACAGGTTCGCTATTGTCATCGTACCCCAGATAGACAGAGTTTGCCAACTTATCTGCGTCTCTGCCTCATACAAATTATTCTTCATTATTTTCATGGTTTCATTTGAATAACCTCTTGAGATTCAGATGGAACTCGAATCACAGAAAACTCAACGCCTTCGAGAAGATCTCGTCACGGAAAAGTCCAAAGGGGCGGAGCTTGTGGGCAGGTTGCGAAGCGTATGCGCGGCGATCGCACTGAATGGTGGCAAAATCGATGTCGAAATGGATGATCTTCAGGTAAATGGATACAAATATAATATTGGATTGCTGTTCAAAATTAACTATTTATAGCTGATCGATTCAATCGATAATGTCATCATGGGTGCTCTGAGTGCCGCAAAACGTGAAGCGGACGCGTTGAGGTTGCAACAGCACACCCAAATTGCTGAGCTGAACGATCTGAAGAGTGATATCGAGAAATTGAGGTGGTTGCTTGCTCTATAGTTCAAAGTAGAGTTGAGATATGAGAGGAGCAGCTCGATTTTTCGCTTCCGTAACCCATGTTGCCTCGATTTTTGGGACATCTGGATGAGCCACGCATGCCACTTCCCCACAAAATCGTCAAGATGTTTGCATTCTTGCTCCTGAAACTAACTTGCTTGAGCAAACTATGCTCCTCTCGGATGTTACCACTTCACTTTGCTCACAGACTCCAGCTGACTGCAAGTGAAATGATACAGATGTTCTAATGGTTGAGCAGTGCACGGTATAACAAGCAATTCGTTGGACCGTGGCGTCAGAGGACGCCGGAATCGAGCTTCGCCATAAACTTCCTATCGTTTAATTTTCAACAAACCTGTGATCGAGTAGTATAGACGAAGTAAACCCAGCTTGTGACACGTCGGTGGATGAAGCTCACATACATAGCCAGTTAATGCCAGCCGCAGTGGTACTCAGACCACGATTATGCAGTTGTAATATAACGGCTCTATAGCCGCTGCAAGTTGTCTACAGAAAAGATAACGCATTCTGGAGGCAAAATCGACAGCCTTTTTGTAGAATGACCAGCTCAGTTCTCGTAAAACATCCGAACATCAAGCTGGCAGCCGATCTGAAGTGATATTCAAGGTGCTGAATGGTGCGACAATGAAGAATAGTGATCAGCTTCTCCCTTCACAAAACCTCGGTATTACGGTAAACTTTGCAGTTCCAAAGTTATTGTGCCAAAGAGATCGTTGGAAGGAAGAGTTTCTCGAAAAGTCGGACTGATTTCAGTGAAGTCCCCCACCTAACAACCTCTTTGGCACAACTTCAAAACTGCGAAGAATAGTGAGATAAATTAGTCGAAATCAACAGAATTAGCCCATCCGACGTCATTTCCTAACGTACTAGACCTGTTTGCCCTACACGCCAAACCAAGTTGTCGTTCCTACCGCCTCTAGAGCCTTCATAAGAATACACAGTTTTCACAGCTCCTTTGAAAAATCTTCAATTTTTCCCCGAGCACATACAGCTGTCTACAGAGTTTAACGTCGTAGGCGAGGGTCTAGGTACGGAAACCAGCGCTTCAGAATTTCACTGGGTCTTTAAAAAGTCTCGGCTGGCAGTGAATCTCGGCCTGTGGCTGAACATCTCGATCCACGACCAGGCCGAATTAATTTAACTAATTTCAACAGTAGTAGCTGTTGAAACTTTTTATTATCTAGTTTCAAGCGTACCTCGAAACGTTTATGGAGTGTTTCTTCAGTTTAATTTCGCTCCTTTCTTTAGTTTTGTTTCCAATAATCATCACTTTTGGTCCTACCTCAGCGGAATTTTACGACAATAGTGAGTAGCCTAGATTTCCTAGGAACTCTATATCACAGCTCACAGACTAGCTCACAGACTAGCTAACCACGGTCTTCAATTTCTTTACGACCAACGATTCGAGATTTTGAGGATGCTCTCACTTTTTGCAGCAGCAGCCGAATACATATCATATTTCAGCGCATCGTTGCACAGCATAAATAGCGCGTACGTGCACAGCAGTGTATCAGAGACAGAAATGTTTTAAAAGTTGATTTGGAGCTTGTAAGTTAGGTGGTTTAGCGGGATAGTGGCAGGAAGTGTCGCCACTGCTCTTGCAGAATATCAAGTGAATGGCTTTGCCGATAGGATTTCAGCCTGACCAGTCGCAATACCTCCCTATTCGGGTTTCGCAGTTGTTTCCGTAATATTTTGCAGGGGCCAATATAGCTAAGAGATGCTTGATCGTTGCGAGGACAATTTCTATAGCTTGAGCGACGTCAAGGCCGTCGACCTTTATGGGTTTCCTCGTCCCCTTTGGAGGATTGGTTTCTCGTAAAAAAAGTCATATTAGAACCGCTTTGTTGCACGCAAGATGTTCAAAAGACCACTAGTCAGATATCTTGAGCAAATGGCTGCAACGGGAAGCTTGTGGTTAGAGACATGCTGGACACTTACTTGTGGATCCTAATCCTTGACAGGTACGAAGTGCTGGGTCCCCGTGTCACTTTCACTGCTCATAAGTGCACTGGAACAAGGGTAGAGGTTGATGGTATACGGGTGCCGTTTTCGGACTCCGCCTGCCCTAAGACACGACCAGCCTAACACCTAACCGTCCAATGCGCTACTTCTGTATGTTCTATCACTTCTGGTTGTTTTCTGCCTCTGCCTGGCTATTCGTTGCAGGATTTTGGTGTCGACGCATGTGCTGCACATAGTGGATATTTCAGGCAGAGTCGGGAAATAGCACCGGGTTATCACCACCCTCCAGGCCCGTTATTGTGTACTTTTGAGCGGAAAAGTGACAAGTTTGCGGAGCTACGAAGCCAGTAACCGCCCGCCCCAGCCATGCTTATGGAAAGCGATGGCTGGGGCGGGCGGTTACTGCCAATGTCATTAGTTGAAGGGCTGCGAGAGGGCGTTTGGCCACACACCACCCAGCCCTTCCACCACTGTCGTTTACTGTAACCCCCTCCCCACCCATCCTGCTCACTGCCTTTAATGATCTTCATGGTTCCTAAGAACGTCCTGGTGTTCTCGAATGAATGGTGAATCGCTCGTCAGGACAAGAAAACCCGCGCCCACCTAGCCTTACAGCCACTCTACGGTCTCCAAATGTGATCATTCATCAATCGTCAGAAGCTATCGTTTTCCTGAGATGTTATGAGAGAAGTGTTTACAAAAGTTCGGTAACAATAGTAATGATAATAGCCTCTCCCTCTACAACTAGCCAATTGTTTGATTATTTAAGTGTTATTCCCTAAACCTGTAGTCCAGTCTCTTCTCTCATCTGAGCTGTTTTGAAGCCCTGAAAAATCCAACCTCTTTTCTCGACCATGAATTTTCAAGCATTCAACTGACACCTAGCCGTCACCCGGACGTACTGTAGACAGCAGCCGTCCAGCTGGCTATCATTCAACGACCTACGCCTATTTCTGACCCATTTGCATGCTAAATCAACACGCATACGTAGGCAGATCCAGATGTCGCTCATCAGATGTGCATGTCCCCTCTGCTGTTTGATTTCACGTCTTACTTTTACTGTTTAAGGAGAAGTGAGAGCGTTTCGCTGAACGAAAGCGACGATCG